CTTTTGCTGTCCCCTGGGAGCTTCAAAACCTAATGCTAAGCCGGGGTCATACGCCAGAAGCCTAACCTAGGAGGATTGGTGGAGCTATGGCGGCACCTCGCGGTAGTTCTTGGGGGGGGGGGGTTAGCATATATATATATATGTGTGTGTGTGTGTGTGTGTGTGTGTGTGTGTGTTTGTGTTTGTGTTTGTGTGTGTGTGTGTGTGTGTGCATACTACGCTCACAAAAGGTGTGTACAGAGACCTTTAGATAGGATACTTACTCACCAAACCTTTTCGGATAGTACTAAAGCCGGTGAGCCCGTGCTCGGCAGAGATGCAAAGCTGCCTTCCGCCGACTGCCAGGACGCCGCTTGTCTCCCGGTCCGGTCTGATTCGACTGGACGGTGACCGTCCAGACACTTGCCACTTCAGAAGTCTGCCGGGTTCAGAGGGCTTGGGGCTGGTGGATTCTCATTGGCAGAGTCTGGATTCAGAAAATTGACTTCGGTTTAGTAACGGTTTGGGCCCTTGAGGCACAACGGTTGCCCGATGCCCCAGAGTAACTAGAGTAGCTACTGGTACAAAGCTCCTCGCCAAGGAGGACAGCGCCTGGCGCCAGGGCCAGGAATGCAAAGTGCAGTCTGGTGGGGGGATCATGGGGCACCTGCAGGCTGGGAAGGGTGATTTTAGTACATCTCCTTCAGAAGCCAGTATAAGAGTTTCGTAATGGTCGATCTTGCCAAAAAGGGTGCTGCATGGATACAGCAAGCCTTGTGATCTTAGCCAGGTTTTTAAACCTCCTTCTGGGAGGCCTACTACTTTGAGATCGTGCTCCAAAGCCCAAAACCTCACAGAAACCCCTAAAGTTGCCCTAAAGCCAAATGGCTCGTCCTTAAAAAAATAGCCTCGGACGAAACCCCTTAGAAGAACTTGAGGGCTTGATGGGCATGCGCACCCAACTTTCAGGGTGGTTTGGTCAGCACCGTGGCCGACACCGTCCGCTTCGTGCGAATGTTGGCCCCTTGGCTGTGCATGATGGCCTGCCGAGCTGCTGTTTCGCCTACCTGGCTAATCGCTTTTTTTGGTTGCAGCTGGTTCATCTGAGTTAAAGAGTTGCTGTTGCTGTAACCAAGATTGGTTGCAGCATGGCGGCGACACAACCTGTAGATCCGCAACAGTTCGACCCGACTGAACCACATCCCCGGTCGTGTAGACCTCGCTACACATCGTCGTACGTTTGAGAGGTCCACCGTGGCGTGTCTGGCGACGGGCGCAGGATCCTGGCAGAGGACACGTGGGCTGGCTGCGTATGTGCGACCAATTCAGCCGCGGCTGCGGTGATGTCCCCAGAAGTCATCGTGTCCCGAGGCTGCTGATGTCATGGAGCAGTCAACGCTTTCAAGTTGTGAGGTGCGTGAAACCTTGCTGTGATGGTAGTGTTGCGGTGCCGAAAGGATAGCATTTCACAATGCTAGGGCTCATTGAGATCGAGTCTGCGAGGACACAATCGCAGCACTCGAGTCTGCATGCAAGGACAGTGGCCTGGCAAACGAGGACTTTGCCCACCTCATTAAGAAAAGCTCCTCGCACCCAACTTTGCGGTGTCCGAAGCCCCTGATAGTAGGTGATTCGGTCGCCTTGAACCCTTCCGGGTCTATATAGAAATATGACTCTTCTACTTTATTGATTACTGAGGTGAACCTGTTGGACAAGTCTCAATTTCTAAAGCGCGGCAAGAAGGGAAGCGTAAGCGTCTCTCTCGCAGGAGAAGCAGTGCCTGCTGGGGGCGCTAGCGGGCTTCAGCGGCCACGAGTTCGGCTGGGGTGGGGCGGCGTGCACCTACTGGTCGGCCTGGGGCTCAGAGAGATGCGCTTTGGATGTTTAGGGCTCCAGCGAACTCCTTCCGTCACCGATTATTGCGTGTTCCTGCGGCTTCCTGAAGCAAGCCCGACTTGCAAGAAGAGGAGGTTGACATGGAACAGCCAAGCCCCAAGCCACTTGACCCTGAGACCCAAGCCACGTTACCAACCACAACTAGCGCTGCTTGTCCGCAGGTCGACCGAAAAGAGAACAACGCCATCGTCTGGTTTACACAGCACATAGACATGCCGGAGTGGGAGGACCCAGGATTGAAACCAAATCAGCGACAAAGCGACGCAGATGATAACGAGTTGTGGAAGGTTCTACGTCGACTCCCACTGCACTCGAGTAGCTTACGGTGTTCGGCATCCAAGTTCGGCTCTGAAGCCCTCCACCCCAAACCTGACTCAAAGTGCCTTCCGCCCTCTCGCCCTGGAGGACCAGTCGGTGGTAAGCAAGGAGGACACCAACCGCGTGCACTTTAGTCTTCCGGTCTTCGGACTTCGCGCCATGGTTTGTGGGGACGGGGATGTTGGCCGAAAACTTCGGGGGTGCTAACGTTAAGTAAGCTAATGGGGCGATGGTATGCAGCGCCGCCACTGCACTGAGGCACGTGAGCCGAGCAGTTGTTCGCCACAACACATGGCGATGATGATACTGATGCCAATGCTGCCGGCTGCTGCCGATGACGAGGATGATGTGGTGACTGTCAAATACTAAAGTAATAATTGCGACTAAAATTGTCAGAATTGTTTTTGATTTAAGATGATTGCTGCAGCTGCATCTGGTGTTGCTGAACGGGGGGGATGACGAGGACGACTAGGCTTACATCGTTTTCCTACTACTGCCATTACTACGAGTGGTACTGCTTCTGCGCTACATGAACTTATACTGCTATAACTTCTCCGCGCCCTCCTGCTCCTTTTCTTGCTGCTGCTGTTACTGTTACTCCCACTACTACTACTACTACTACTACTACTACTACTACTACTACTGCTACCACTACTACCACTACTACTACCACTACTACCACTACCACTACCACTACCACTACCACTACTACTACTACACGCGCCGCTGTATAATGACTAGATTGCATTTCGCCTGTGGCCTTGCTTTTTGAGCTGTCAGAATTCTCAGGGCAAGGCCGTTCGTCTGCGGATGCTGTAGAGGCAGAGGCCCCCACGTGAAGGAAACAGAGAGCTTCCTTTATCGTGTCCGTAGGTGCGACAGGTAGCCATGGACGTAGCGGATCGTCGCGGCACCACACAAGCTCAAGAAGCGGTCGTTGTGAGTCTGTTGCTGGCATTCAATTGGTGGCCCCAACATATGAGACAAACACCATCAAAAATGCGTCTGTTGGTGCGTCCGTGTATGAAATGGTCGATCTGCGAAAGCAGTGCCATCCAGGCCTTTGGGCCAAACTATGCAATGTTGCTTTGGGAAGCTTTCCATCTCAGCTTCCGGCCTAAGATCTAGAACCCCATACCTCAGTTCCCAGACATAGATCGCCTGCCAATGTGGTGGCCCTGCAAGGACCGCTATGTGGAAATGGTCAAGCTGATGATATCGCTCAGGCACAGCAACCTCAACCTTAGCCCTTAACCCTGTAAGCCCGAAACTCTGGATGCGTCGACTTGCAGATACGCTTTTCGAAAGCATTTTCTGCATTTCAAACTCCGCCGAAGCCCTGGGTGGACATGTGAATAAACTTTGGATGTATCGACTTGCAGATACGGTTTTTGTAGGTTTGCTGGGGTTCCGAATCTCTGCCTAAACTCTGGATGCATCGACTTACAGATACGGTTTTCAGAAGGCATGCATTGCTTTCTAGACCGCATTTCGTGTGGACAGACAGACGGTAGAAAGTAAGGCGCTCCGAGGTCTCCTTCCTTCTTGTCGGCTGTCTCCCGCTTCAGTCTGTGCAGGGTCAACTTGCTCCCCGTGTCTCGGTATTGGCCTCTCTGTCTGTAGGTAGTCGAAAGTAGAAAGAAAGCATACTGAAGCGTCGAGCCGCAGAATCTTGTCCCGAAGCTTTCTAAGGCATTCACCCGCAAATCCTAAATCCCTAAATCGAAGAGATCCCATACCTCGTCAGCCTTATAACCCGCACAAACCCAAGTCCCTGTGAGGACCATTCGATTCGCCACTGCTGGCGTTGACTGACAGGCTGGCCTTAGCAATTGGAATACGGTTTCAGGGGATACAACACTATAGGCTATTCGTAGGGAATCCCAAGAATAAATATTATCAGTGATTCAGGCCCTGTATTACACCCTAAACCTTAAACCGTCAGACATTCCATTTGTCTGACAGTCACCAGAGGTGGCGATGAGTGAGAGAAGTCGGTTTCAGCGGATACAAACACTGTATGTTGCTCCTAGGGAACCCTGAGAAATGATATTGTTAGTGAACCCGGCCCCTGTATTGCATCCTAAGCCCCAAAGCCCAAATCCTCAGACTTTCTCTCACCATCGATATGTGCCGACTTTATCTGAAATGGTTGCGATGAGCGACGACTCTGTAAGAGTTGCGACGATCAATGACAAACACTGAAACACCCCCATATGTCTTTCTATACCCCTACAAGCAGTAAACCCCAGCATGCCACAGTATGTTCATTCTCGCCCTACGCAAAAGCTCCAGGTATTGAAGCGACATGAAGCGACCCTCCCGGCCGGAAGTCTTGGCGGCTCTGCATCTGTGGGCGGCACAGTACAGCACGGACCAGCAAAGCTACACGTTCCTGGTCTGGGGGCGGGTTCAGAACCGGCAAGAGCACGCACTTGGGAGTGTCTGCGGCTGGGGCAACCCTTTCATCTAGACAGTGCAGAGCGCACCCCGATCCAAAGAGTTTGAGAAAGAATCTCATGGCTACAGTCTTTTTGACAATGTGAATGATATGCAGTTTGTGCTGGACCATCGAGCCCTGGTGCAGTCCAACAACTCCGTGCACACACTGTGCCAATCCCAAACAGGCAGGTAGGCATATCGTGTATGGGTTTATAAAGTCCCGATAGTCATGACCGTGGATGTCAATGCTGTCGGGAATTCTGACGAGCCATGGATCCACGAAAGTATGTTTGAGCTCATCTTGCATGGGCCGTGCTACGAGTGAAAAGTAGCGGCTGAACCGCCTTTGCTGCAAAATGCAAAAAGGGCCGAGGTGATTGACTCATTTGTGGTGCAGGTGGGGGTTGCTTAAGAACACAGCTTAGGGGTTCGATTTTACGGCCTGGATTCCGGGAGCAGGGCCAGCTTCAACTTTATAAGCCATGAATGTGCGCAGCCCTAAAGTGAGCGCTTGCAGAGGGCTGTTTTTTTGGGTCTCTGTGCGGGCTTGATTCGGAGCCTTTCTGTCTGCTGCCGCAAGACGTGATTGTCCAGGGGCAACGCTGAGAACTGCTCCGCGCGCACGCGCAGATGCGATAGTCGTGTCACGGTCTTTTCAGACTTGAGAGTCCAAACGAACCTGACAACACAATCTTGGCGAATCTTCTAGTGGCAAGAGTTTAAAGGTGCAGGTCAAAGGTCAAGACCACATGCCCGTATCAAAACTTGCTTCGTCTACAACAAGCAACAATCCAGTACGAGGTCCATTACTATTAGATTTGGCTTGTCTGCTTGGCTGGCTCTGGATGTAGGCAGTAGGTAGGCTTCAGGTATAGTCTGGTTCTGCCTGGGCCTGGAGCGGCCTGCGCTGCCTCCTCAGCCGTGCGCTCACTGCACGTGTGGAGTACTTAAGACGGCAGTTGAAGCAGATTGCCAAAAGACTCTGGCCGTGCCACATCGCTGCGGACTGGGCCGGAAGCTTGCAAACAAGTCCTTGCCGTCTACATATTTTGCCTGACTACGATGTGGGCAAGGCGGCCACCCTGGCGTAGCACCTTGCGTCTGCTGCAAGGTCCGGAGAGCGTTTGCAAGCAAGCGAACGCTTCGTTGAGGAC